CCTTCCTCCATTCGTGACTCGTGGATGTTTGGATTGAGTAACGAAACACAATGCTGGGTACTTCGCTGCCGTGGCTAAGGGAAAATGCCGTATGAACCATCAGGCGTTGCAAAATTTCCTGAGTTAAAATACGAATTTTCAGGGAAATCTGCAGATATTTTTCCTCCAATTTTTCGGAGAATTTTACTCGCAACTAGATCTAAATTATCTGGAGAATTCACAAAAAATATTCGTGTCTCTCCTTCAAAATAGGTATTTTACGTGGGAAATTTGGCAACTTTTGAATGGTCATACGGCGTTTTTCCCTAGCATGGTAGATCGTATGTGGGAGGAATTTTTGTCGGATCCGAATATGTTGGGCTCTCGTTACACGATCCAATTAGCAATGAATTCCTGACGACCGGACGGTGTGCTGTAGGAGTCAACGAGCTTGAAATTGTTGGGTTTTGTAATCCTTGTGGATAGAATTTGACGGGAGCTGTTCCGAAGATTATATGCGCTTGGTTTAATGATAATATCCTCGGTAATTTAACATTTAATGCCAGTTATAGTGTTGGGTAAGTCTTATGAATTAATCGATCGGAATTTTGTTTAAAACTTCTACTCTAACATCTGCTGGGCAGTGGCGAGGCGTGCTTTGCGATATATCGATTGATACGCCACTCAAACCTATGAAAAAAGATCGATTATTAGGGTGTTCGCTACGAACACCTTAATAATCGATTCTTTGCCATAGCTTCAAATGGCGAGATATCGATAATCGATCATTCACGCCACGCCACTGCAGTGCTGGGTGCAAATGACGTGCTTTTATAAGGACTTTCAGGCGATGCACAAATTTTGAACCGTGACGTAAAGGAAGAAAAAATAAATACTACAAAAAATAAATACCCATAAATGCGCAAAATGTGTCATTTACGTAAAAATTATTATCGATAGTTGACTGGAGAATCTGCATAAAAAAATTGTCTTACTTCACCTAACAATGATAGTGCTCAATGAGCTGGGTACACGGTATTTATCTAATTTATATCTGAGATGGCACATTATGGAAAAAACAGTTTTAAAAGTGAGAAAATGTGCCGCTTTTTGAAGTCGTATGGCGGAATTTACCATTAAAACACGTGCGTTTTAGCAGATTAGGTTTTCCTCTCATATTTCCTCCGGTATTTGTTCAATTGGACGTAATTCTATCAAACGGAACTATGTGCATTGAGACATGAGTCCTGAGACTCTCAGGACTCACGTCATAATGCACATAGTTCCGTTTGATAGAAATACGTCCAATTTAGGAATCATGGATATCCTCGTGTTTAGTTTTCTCATTATTTTAATCTTACACATGATATTTACTAAATTTAAAACTCCTGTAAAGTCTTCATTAGTGAGAAACCAATATTCGCCATTAAACCATTATTTATACCTTACTCCATCATTGAGAGCGAAAACTTAACAAGCGAAGGCTAAAAACTCACACACATTCTCCTCAGACAATTCGATCATTTTAACAATGCACTATAAAAAACAGCCTAGCACTTTATATCAGACGTGATTTAGTTACGTCTGAATCACTATAAATTCAAAATAGACACCAAAACGTCGCCTTCCAGCCAAAGTATCACAACCGCCATGCGACGCTTCAAAATTTTCGTTGCCGTTTTTATTTTTTTACAAGGAAATCGTTCACCGAAGCTGTCCGAAAATTTCGCTGAATTTTCTTTGGGCTGCCGATAAATATCAGTGAAATTTTCAAGCAGAGTCAACCAAAAATTTCTCTGTTAACAAATAAAGTGGTGGTGGAAATTTTGAAACGTCGCATGGTGCTTGTGATACTTCGGCCGGAAGGTGGCGAAAAGATTATTAAAAACACTTGTTTGATAATAGGTTTACAGCAGTAAAAGGTCTGGTTGCATATTTTTGTGTAAACAAATTGTTTGGTTGCGATTCTTCCTCGGAAGAGTAAACCAGTCTTTTTCCTACACTAAAAAAAAATCTTCGGCGTTTTTACCACGGTCCGTTGGTACCTTCACCATCTCACTTTTTTTACCAATTATTGGTAATTTTACCAAGACAGACTGGTAAGCTTACCTAAAAACCGGTATTTTTACTGTTTTTTCAGGTAAGAATACCACTTTTATTGGTAATCAATGCCCGGTAACTTTGCCATTTTATCTCGGTAATTTTACCACAGTCGATAAAAAATATTGGCGTTTTTACTGGGATCAGTAAAATTACCGAGAAAGTTAATAATTTTACCGAGGTTTCTCGGTAAAATTACCAATTCCATAAATGTTAATTTCACCAAGAAAAAACCGAGATCAAATAGATCGATAGGAAGGTAATTTTACCCCTTTCTTAGTAAATACACCGAGATTTTTTTTCAGTGATATTTTTGTGTAAAAAAATTGTTTTGTTGCGATTCTTCCTCGGAAGAGTAAATCAGTCTTTTTCTTAGGACTCACTCCATTCATTTTCCTCTGATAAAAACGGTGCTTCCACGCGGGAGCCGAGAGTGGCTTGGGCCGTGAGTTATGGCAGCATGACGTCAGACGGTGCGCATGCGCATGCGTGCGCCTACGGATGCGCGACGGAGACGCAACCGGGTCGGAGACGCGCAGCAAGACCACCGCAACCGCGCAAACTCACTTCTCTGATTGTGTCTGCAGAGCGCCGACTGCTCGGGATATTGCTCCCGAGATGACCTGCAGGTTGATTATTGATCAACGTGATTCCATCACGACCAGTAAGACACCGCAAAAAACATGCGGATGGACCCGAAGATCCACGAATGTCATTATATTATTCCGAGAGACCTAAACGCCAGAGTAGGAAAGTTAGCTAATCGATCTCTCGCTGAAACTGATACTAAAACTTCAGATTACGTTTGATTAAGTTGGACATTATTTCGAAAATCATATTTTTAGAGACTTAACGTGAATCCGGAGTCAAATAGTTACCCATTTGGTCTCTCGTTTTATACAAAAACTGAAATTTAGGAGGCAAAAACATTGGCGGATTCATCACCAAAAAAAAGTGATGCTGATTCTACATTCATGGATATAAAAAAATGTGCGAAAACTCACAAAATGCAACACCAGGTTTCCTCCATTTAAACCCAGGGAAATGTATCGATTCTTGGAGGAGCTACATGCTTCGACCATAATCGATTACTTAACATAGGTTTAAATGAAGGAAACCCAGTGTTGCCAAATTGCTGGATCGGCTTCTGGTCGAAGAACAGTATGGCGCCAGGTAGAACCCTTTGAAAGTCAAGACAATGTGAATCCATTTCTGATTGGTTCCCGTATTTTAGGCCTTCACACTTCACAGTGTCACAAACGGGAATGAAGATTACATTTTCACCGATTGCGAAGATTACAATCTGGAGTGGACCAGGAAATTACGGGTTCGGCAAGGAACAAACGGAATAAGAGAGGGAACGGAGAAAGGCATTTGAGAATTGGCCGATCAAAGATTACGAAAAACGTTCAATTTGTGTAATCTTTATTCCCGCTTGTGACTCCATGAGGGGGTGTTGTCTTGACTCTCAGTATAAAGGGACTCTAGCGCTAGAGTACCTATATTGAGAGAGTATGGCCACCGGGCCCCATGGAGAGGCTTTAGGACCCAAAAATGGCGGTGCTTTGTTTTGGTTTTTGTGGATGGGAGGAGGGTCATTGCCAACTTTTGACGGTTATCACCAACCGCACTTGCTGCCAACCTTACTACATCTAAGATAATTTTTCTCAAAAATTGCACACGATTAGCTTTAAAAATATGTAAAGATGTCGCAATAGTGCATTTGAGTAAATTTCTCGTTACGATAAGCAAAGAAAACTACATTTTGAGTCATTTTGCATTACATTAATTTATGGCGGCCGCTCCATTCGGCCTAAGATGGCCGAGCCAATCAGAGGTGGTAGCCCCAGTGGCCATACTCTCTCAATATAGGTACTCTATCTAGCGCCAGGCAGTAAAAACTTGAATACTTACATTTATGATCCTTGATCCATGGTCCATTTAAGAGCGACAAAATCCCGCTCTCGCCTACGGCCAAACTCTTGTGGCGCCCGAAAAGGCCGCCCCCGCCCCCGCCGCCGGGAGGCGCGGCAGCAGCAGCGCTGGCCCCGTCCCTCTTGAGCTTCCAGTTCTCCCTGCCGGGGGTGTCCTCGAGGAGGGGCGAGGACTTCTTGGGGGTCTTCTTCTTCTTGGGGGAGCGGGCCGGCGGGCTCTCGGACTCCCCGCTGGAGAGGGCGCCCCTCACCGACTCGATGACGTGGTGGCCGCCGATCTTGACCTTGGGCGAGGAGGGGCGCCCGTTGTTCCCGTGGGCGTCCCCGCCGCCGCCGCCAGCCGCCCCGATCTGCGGCTGCGAGTGGTCCGTCAGGATTTCATCTTCCATGCTGCCTCGGATTCCGGCGCCCGAGGGCCACTGACATCATAGGTATCACTCGCGCACTTCTCACCGCGGTGATTTCGTTGACATCATCCTTCGCGCTCACTTGGAGATGGATCCGCTACTACCTTTTTAGCTCTCCTGCGATTTCGTTGGAAGAATTTCGAATGAATAACACGGGAAAAATTGAATGTTGATTAAGCATTTATGCTATTGAATGTGCGACATGTGTCAAATTTTGAGTTTACATCCAAATGGCCTAGTCACACGCTCAAATTTCCGTCAAATTCCGATCAAAATTATGACCAAGATGGCGGTCGAGAGTTATCTAGATTGATGAGTAAAATTAATTAAAACAGTGTGTTGATTGAAATAAGCACGAAACAAGCACGGTAGTGTGGAAATCAGATGAAGGATGAGCTCCACAGCTCCATCATCTACCATCAAATTTTTGCAGGCAGCAGAAATTTGATGGTAGATGGTGCGCACCAGTCACCATTTGATCGGAAATTGATGGAAGTTTGAGCGTGCAACCAGCACAAAAAAAATGCTAACTCGACATTGAATTTGTTCATGCAACCATGGACGAAGTTCACCTGGCATTTTTTTTTTTCTTTTTTTTTCTTTTTTTGTAAAATCAGCACTTATATACTCGTCAGTAACACACACTGAAAGAAATGTTACGGGCTGTGTAGACATACCGTCCGTTCCGGACTCAGAGGCCGAAAGTTCCGGGTGCTGGAGCCGTAATTTAAACTGCTCCGGGTGCTCCGCCCGGAACTTTCGGCCTCTGAGTCCGGAACGCAGACGGTATGTATATATAGCCCGTAAGTGCGGCCGGAGTTTCTTTTTAGTGCATTATAAACGCCAAAGCAACATTCAATTTTTCCGAGAAGCTGCGTCTATTAAAGCGGCTTGAAGCCCATCGTAGATAACTTAGAGACCGTCCATAAATTACGTCACCCAAGTAGACGATGGGGGGGGGGAGCCTCTGGCGGTAAATGGCGATAGGTGAAGAGGAGGGAAGGGGCATCAAGCTAAGGATGACGTAAGGCAAAAGAGCCTTTTGCCAGCCCTTTTGCCAGAAGGCAAAAGGGCTGAAAATGCCTGCTTGAAATTCTACAATATATACTGATTTTTTTCGATTTTCTGCGTTATTCCCATATAAGTGGGGGAGGGGGATACGCTAAGTATTTTAATTTTTAAAGGGTCTAGCAGTGGATGACGGTTGGACATGATGAGGGGAGGGGGAGGGGTCCGAAAAATTGAAACACATGGGTGACGTAATTTATCGACGGTCTTTTAGGGTAGAATAGATTTATTCAGTGGCTGCGTCATTCGATGAAAATTCAATAATCAAAACAAAATTCAGAGAAAAATGTTCTTTTGGTGATGAAAATGACGAAAATATTTGGCATTGAAATAAATAAACGTCAATTTTAAAGTTAGCCATGAGAACCGATAGCAGGTACACTCATTAGCAGATTTGTGCGATTTATAGGATATCCTCCTGGCAATGATGAATTTTTTGGTTCGTTTTGAAAACCATCCGAGTTGTATCGAATATATGACTCTCATATTATCCTACACTTTTTCATGATAAGCGAATGCCTTCCAGCAAAAGGATATCAGCCCAACTAAATTTATTTCAGGTTTTCCCGATCAGCAAGATTATCCAATAGAGATCAATCAAAAGAATTTATTTAACAAGTAAGCAAGTATGAAGGATAAACTCGCCTTATTTTCAAAATCTTACTTTAGGTAGAAGTAAAGAAAAATTCGCTGTATTTCTGCTAAACGGAATTACGTGCATTATGACTCAAACCCTGTTATGCATATATTCTTATAAGTCTCAGAGCTCGTGTCTCAATGCACATAATTCTATTTGGCAGAAATAAGTATATTTAACTAGTACTATCTATGATCTACGTTCATTATTGTCAGTTGGACTGCATTTTGCAATTTGGAACTATAAATTCTGGCTCTTCTGGAAAAACACGTATGTGCATAGGGAAACGAATGGCACATACGTTGTTTTTAAACCTGGCTTCAATTTATAGTTCCAAATTGCAAAATGTAGTTCAATTCGTCGTTTCCCGGACGAAGGAACGTAACTCTATCCCAAGTTTACAAAATTCACTCAAAACAATTACATTTTCATAAGAATATACCTATCCAATTTTTCCCCAAAATTGTATCGATTTTTGCATGACATCAGGAGTAATATCATTGACATTTTTAGCTTCCAAGCCCGAGACTCTCCCGGTAAGAATGCAATTTTCGAGGGGAAATTCGGCAATATTGAAATGTAGTTAACGTTCTTCCGTGAGGAAAACTACGAGTAATTGCCCCTAGTAGCAGTGGCTGTCGAGAAAAGTTGTAAAAAACTCGTACATTTTAAGAGATCTCTTAAAATTTACTTTAAAACCACTTGAAAATTAAGTTAAAAAAACTCTTGAAATATTCGTATGAGGAAACCCTTTTTAGGGCTTTTTAACATAAATTTGAAATAAAATTTAAAGTAAACTTGTAGTAAATTTTAAATAAAATTTACGTATTTTTTTAGCTTCTTAAGGCAAAAACGAGGGAAAAAAGTGGTGAACAGAAAAGTATAAAAGAAACAGTTGCAGCCCATAAAAATTGAGGATATAGTTTATTGATTTTTACGTAAATTTTACGTTTTCTTTTAATCAAAATCACACTATTTTTTACTTAAAAGAATTCTCCAAAGGGTTTCCTAAAACGAGTATTTTAAGAGTTTTTTACTTAAAAATTTACGAACTCTTAAAATTTACATGTTTTTTACATTTTTTTGGACAACTTTTTGTAGAACTTTTTTTAAGAGCCATTGCTACTAGGGGCAGCTAACAAAACTGTATTTGCGATGCATCTACTTAAATCCTAATCAAGATTCTGGCAAATGGCAAAATCCTGACACAAAATGAAGACAAAGAATCCGTTGCATCATGCACGCGTCTTTGCAAGAACTCGAGATTCACAAGGGGCGGGAAGAAGGCTGATTCTCATCTAGATTAGAAGCGTGGTTCCGTTCGGGTGCCGGAAATAGCCGAATGAGCTGGCGAGTAAACAGTGGTTACGAAAAAAAGTGAAGGTGTGGCCATCAACGCGTGTATTATTATTTTGTTTTGGAGGGATATGAAAAGTTTAAGTCCGCGTACTTCTACACGGATTTAACTAAAAAAAACCATTTTTGTTGACTTTTTCTGTTAAATCTGTGCGGATTCAACTGAACATCATTTTTTTTAGTTAAAAAGCGTCATTTTATTGCCGTTCAGTTTCACTTCTAAAAACGGAAACAAATAAACGTTTCTTTAACTCACAAAAACTAACTTTAAGTTACATACGCGCAGATTTAAAAAAAAAAAAAAATTGTCTACAAGAAACGACGTTCTAAGTCAAAATAATATCTCAAGACAATTTTCTTTCAGTGGGGAGGAAGAACCTCAGAGGTAACGGCCGTGGTGTGAGACTTTTGGATAACCCGCTATAAGTGGATCGCATTTAGCAAAAGGGAACCAGCGCGATTATAGTGTTGTGAAAATGTCTCTCCTTCGTAATAATATACAAAATCTCCCAGAATAGCAAATAATTTTTGCTTTCCACCAAAAAAAAAAATGTTAATTTTGAAGGTAAATAAAGGTTTTGATTTTAATACTGTACATGTATTGAGCATTTTTAAAGGAAAGAGAAAGTCGCACGAATTTGAAAACACTACTGTATACGCGCTGGTCCCTTCTCACTAAATTCTATCCAACACTGGACAAAAAAAAAAAAAAAAAAAACACATTGGATCAAGAGTCCAGACTCTTAAAACATCGGCAAGAAAACATACTCTGGATTCAATCAGATTTAAGCTTAAATCGAGAACCAAACCTCTTAATTTGAGCGGATTTCTTTTTGATTCAAGCAAAAATTCGATTGAATCAAGAGTATTTTTTCTTATCGATGTTTTTAAGAGTCTGGACTATAGATCCAAGCTTCTTTATTTTCCAGTGACATTTTTGGGACCGAGAAGGTTTGCTTAGGAGAAATGCACTCAGACGCTTACTCATGCCTTCACGAATCCATGTCGCTCATCCGTGAGCAAGTAAATTTCTATGTCGCTGAAGAGTTCTCAGGGCGACTCTCTCAGAAATCTGAGTGACTCAAGGAAATGTTCTACATTGACAGTGAATCAGAATAAATTTCCTTACAGTGCTCGGCGTACACCACACACTACGGTGCACACTCCGGCAGGCGCAGTTTAAGCAATTAGCACGACAGAACGTATATGTAAAATGGTGTAGTGTTTGAAGTATCTCCAGGATGTGGAAGGCGCTATATCGGGTGCCCGCAAGCACGCCTTACCTGCTCGCGATAGTCGAAGAGTTAGGACACTAGATCCAATGTGTGTGTGTGTGTTTTTTTCCAGTGAAGTAGTCAAAATTGTTTCCTTGGGTGCAATTATGCAAGCATGCGTACTCAACCTCCTGTGATGCTAACTCCGAGTTCTGACAAGCTAGCGAAAAATTCTCCTAATTCTGCGTCCTTATCTTATCCAACGAGACGCTGCTTTCATTAATTCACGAAAATGCATTGCGCAAGCGCGGAGCTATCCGGTCATCTCGAGTGCTCGGAGCGTGGGCCCGGGCCCTCCTGCCTCCTGCTTAGCGCCGTGTGAAAACCGAGCCGAGTTTCAGTTTCCGCTTCCGTCCTTCCGCCCGCCGCACCGTGGATCCAGTCGATCAAAAAGCTCGGACAAAATTTCGAAGCTTCAAACGCTCATGACTCCATCTATACACAGCTTTGACGTTCTAAAAGTGGCTCTATTGGTTCCCTCGTGAAATTTTCTTCGTAAAACACCCCACTGAAAAGAAATTCTCGGCGTTTTTACCAAGGTCCGTTGGTACCTTTACCATCTCACTTTTTTACCAATTATTGGTAAAATACCAAGACAGACTGGTAAGCTTACCTAAAAACCGGTATTTTTACTGGTTTTTCAGGTAAGAATACCACTTTTATTGGTAATCAATTCCCGGTAACTTTGCCATTTTATCTCGGTAATTCTACCACAGTCGATAAAAAATATTGGCGTTTTTACCAAGGTCCAGTAAAATTACCGAGAAAGTTCAATAATTTTA